TTAATATGACCAAGTCTTAGATGCCAAAGATATGTTTCGTTCATTTTAGAGGATTCATTTCTCTTATTCAGATTAGATGATGAATTAAGTAATTGTTTCTGTTGCAGTGGAGATGACTTAGATTCTAGAATATACAGATTGTCAACCAATGAACCAGAGCATATGAATTTTTTGCCAAAACGAATAACAACTTTATTATCAAACGTTGCGGAAAAACCGTTCATAAACAACTTAGAAACCGAAATTAAATTCTTTCTAAAACTGGGAACATAAAGACAATCTTTCAAAACTAGAAACCTATCTAAGCCAAAATCTAAATAGACGTCTCTTTACACTGCAACTGCTGACGCTCTACTAGCATCGCCCAAGTAGATGGTAACCTCTCCTTCCCTAAGTCGTTTGGTTTCCTGGAACCCCTGCAATGAATTGCAGACATGATCAGTGGCCCTCGTATCTACACACCAGGTACTGGTAGATAACACCGCTAAACATGTTTCAACGACTAAAGCAAAAGGAGTACCTTTTTTGGGTTTCTTGGAAAGAGGGCAGTTTGCCTTCCAGTGTCCCTTCTGCTGACAGTTGTAGCACTTGCCTTTCGGCTTCCTTGCCTATTGTCGAGGTTGCGCATCACTCATGACCGCTTTGCCCTTTCATGCGGACTTCTTCCTCTTCTTGCCCTTAGGAGCCTTAGAAGTGGAAGCTTCTCCCCGCTGGGCCACCATGGCTTGGGTCTTCTGACGAAACAGGCCCTCTGCCGCCTGAAGCTCAGCAACTAGTTCCGGAAGAGTCATCAACATCTTATTCATGTTATAATTCAACCGGAATTGCTCAAAGCACTTCGGCAAAGACTGGAGCACTATATCGACCTGGGTTTCCCCATCAATAAAAGCCCCAAGAACCTCCAGCTCTTTCAGCTGGGCCATCATAGCAAGAACATGTTCCCTTACGGGAGTGCCCTCGCGCATGGTCATGTTCATCAGAATCCTCATGGCTTCTTGTCGGGCAGCCCGCGACTGATGACCAAATAACTCCTTGAGATTGAGTAGCATATCCGCTATAGTGTTCATAGACTGTTGTTGATGTTGAAGTACATTTGACAAAGATGCCAAGATGTAACACTTTGCCATCTCGTCAGCCTTTTTCCACCGAGCATACTCCTCTTTCTCTTGGTCTGGTGCATTGTCAGCAGGCACAGCCAGACAAGCCTCAACAGTTGCAAATTTGTACCCCTCAGCAGTTAGCACAATATCCAAGTTCATTTTCCAGTCAATATAATTGGGACCAACAAGTTTGTTTTCTTTGAGAATTACGGACAACGGATTGAAAGACATTTTGAATTCCTAGGATCATGCAAACATAGTCTTTACTCAGTCAAGTAGTTTTAAATTTATACATCAAATATTGATCCCATTAAAACAACATATGAATAAATTCACCAACACCTCAAAACACCGAATCCCCGCAGGCCACTGAGTGTGGACGTCTACGGTTCAAACATTCGCAAGAGGAGGGATAAATCCCATTAGCTTGACATACTGCCCAACAGTACTCAACTAATATTCGATTTCATCTTTTGGCCAGCGCAATTAACTTTTTAAAAGAATAATCTCTATAAAAGAATAAAAACGACATTGTCCTTTGGGACTATCGTAATTATTTGCACTTTAAGCGTAACCCATTAATTGGTACTAAGTTTACAACCAAAATTATACGTCCATCTTTGGGTGACCCGTACGCTTTTGAAATATCTCACTATAACCATCCCGAAGGAGAT